TTCAATGTAGTTTGTTTACTTATCAGTCTTATATCTCCCTATGTAATTTCAAAAGTATATATATTCGTGTATGTAGAGTATTCAGCTGACGAGTTCTACCGAAATTTGATGAATTCATTAAATCCTGTTTCTTTCTGAGGTGAATAGCTACGGTTTTCTGGCAATAATACTATACAGTGTAGGCTTTTTCACAGATTTGTAGGCTGACAATAAATGCAGCAGCCTTTCATCACATATGATGCTGAATACCCTGAATCGTTGTCAACCTGTCAGTTCTCAACTAATCTAGTCTGTTTTAGATTGAAACAAGAATAGTCATATAGGCGCCTGGAAGGTCACAGAGAATCTGCAAAAATATCTACATGAGAAGATGTGCTCTTGACAACAAAATATCTTACACCTTTTGTCGTTTTATCGGGAAAATTTTTTGTAAAAGATTTAATATGCGAGTTATACGAATACCGATGATTGCTGCTATCCGAATCTGACCAACCAGATCAGTGACATTTTATCTAAAATTACTGATTTTGAACCATTTCAATTCTATTTTTATGAAATCTGAAATTTGAAAAAATTTCATTTGTATTTGATATGTATCCATATTCATACTATTTCACTCACACACTTGTGTGACACTGATTTTTCCTTGTGTTCGAAAAATACAAGTATCATCGTGAACCTGGTGGTTTTCTGATTTCCGCCTTCTTGCGTCAGGACTATTAATTATTCGACCAGTGCATAACAGTATTCTATCAGTGGTGTGGGCGAAAGTTCTGTAACTATCCACTTATACTCAAATCATCTGACATTATTAAAGCAATATTACCAAAATAATATCTGATGGTAGTCTGTGACCTAAGTTTTAGGGTCACAGCGTTCCCCGAACACAATACTGGACACCAGCCAGGTGAATAAACGGTTAACGGTTTACGCGCGTTGTAACCTGAAGTTTCTGACTTCCATGCCTTGTGGTGTCGTTGACGGGGACCACGGAACAGTCCGAAACTTGGACGAAACAGTTGTTCATTTCCCCGCGATTTTCAATGACTCGCTAACCGATATTATTTTGTAACGAAAGCTAGGTTGCAACAGTCATTAACTGCTCATCGTATGGGTTATTAGCAGGAATATTAGTCTCTGTAGGTTTCTGATAAATTATTCATTGATCAGGATGAGACATGCTGTTAAACTATGGGTGAGTTAGAATACATTTATTTTAATGTACCTATGATTGACCTGATAGCATTTCATAAAAGGTATGTTGTATCAAATGACAAAACTATGAGTCGAAAGCTCTGTCTTAACGTTATTTTTTCGTTGTTTAAGTTCTTGGCAGTCACGATTTCAGAGTACCCAAAAGGAAGTATACTATATGAACGAAAAATGTCACACCTACTTATCAATTCACACAGTGATTCTGCATGCATAACTCATGCACGCCCACTCACATTGCCTATAAATTCCTACATCTTAATTATACATATTTTTATTCCAGTCATCATTGTGACGTGTTTTTTTTTATTTATTTTACTTTATACACCACCTATTGATTTTTAACGTTTAGAAACAACACCCAACTGCTTATGTATGTAATGGGCTTCTAATGATCTCATTGTCATGACTTTGAGCGGTCTCTGCAAGGCATGAACCATTTCTCTTTCTTTTATGACTAACGAGAAAATAAACGTGCCATTTATAGGAAACGTAACTGTTTGGTCCACTAATTTATTGTCGTCATAAGCTCTGTTAAGGCACTAAATTACGAAAAAGATTAAATGATGAAAAGATAAAAAGGTGTAATTCAGTCATCCACCACAACTTTAAGACTTATAGGATTTCTAAAATGATTGGAATATATTTAAACTGCAGTTAAAATTGATGTACAAAAATCTCAAGGACTTAAAGAATGCCAGTTAGCTATTGCGTCAGAAAATTCAAAGTGAATTCTTCGTTTTAAAAAAAGACAGTTTGAATGAAGTTCGAATAAAAATATACACTGATTTCTTTTAGAAACTCAAAAACAAAAATTCGGATCACCATATCAGACCAGATCAATTCTAGTGTATCACCAGTTCTCTCATGTAGCTAGCCAGAACTATGGTGGTGGTTTGAAGTGATTTCACTCCTCAAGGTGATTCTACCTGGTGTATAGATCACTTCTAAGTGAATGGCGAACACTACTGGTTGACACGAGTTGTTTTCAGCCTCTCAAATCAACCAGTAAACAATGCATGGTGTCATTCTACTAAGAAGTCTGAGTTGCACAAACCCTGTAACATTGAAGAAGATCAACCTCATCTTTGAATAGGCCTCAGCAAATAAGGAGGTTATTTTACTGTGAATTACGGAGTTATCATAAAAATATATTTCTAGCTGCGTAAACTGGTTTACTCTAGTTACTTAGATTCACGCCTTTTGGTCATTAAAATCTATTTCACTTTACCTGTTTTGACCTTAGTATCGATTCTATAAAAATGTGAAACGGTTGTTGGTAACAGTCTTTTATAATTATCTATGTTTCTTAGATTTAGTAATTAAACACTGTTTGAAGGTAGGTGTTATGAAACAGCGATCCAGGAGAACGGACGTACCAGTGCCTTTGAGACGCACAAGCAGAGTAAGTTAGTAAAACCAAGTAAATGACAGTATAATCACAAAAAAGTGTTGTATTTAAAAAAAACATTTTACTTTAATCCCTTACGTTCTGTGTGGAACATAGGAATTCAGGGTAGAGCTTTAAAGTTTCTGTAACAGTGGTTTTATTTTCACAGGGTTGACTTCCTAGCCTCACACCCAACCTTCCTTCATTACCGGTTTTACCAACTGCTAAGAGAGGTAAAGGTGGGTGTCAGCTAAGACTTGAAACCCGGACCATGTGTATGTTCTGCGAGTATCCAACCACTGAACCTTATCTCGTGCACAGAATAGTTTGAAAATGTTATTAAATGATATTTAATCAGAGAAACAGTGTAGTGAACACACACTCACAAGCATACGTAAGATAAATATACAAGCTGTAACATTGTGAATGTCTACTGAGAAATTTATTGAATAATGTAATTTTCGAATACAACCACGGATTGATATCAGTTGGAGAACCATTGGAAACCAACAGGGAGTATTGGACAGCTGTTTCATCCTAGTTTGAGACTCATCGACAGTACTCACCTACTGTCAGGATTCGAACCCAGGACCTTCCGGTTGCATGGTGAGCTAGCTCATATACCATTCAGCGACTGGGGCCCCACCCGATTCAATGGCCAGTGCGTGGATTCTAACTCCTACAGATTCGTGATTTAGCTCGACCACCAACCAAAGTCATCAGTGGGACATCCATCCTCACACATGACTAGATGGACCTCACTGGTCACAACTTCTCACTAGAACTCCGGGAAACTCAGTCCTGAAGTAAGTCACTAGATATCATCAGATTAATTTTCAAGAGTTGGCGTGTAAGGTCAAACTCGAAAAACAAATCTAATCCTTACGAACCAACTCTTGAAGAAGAAGAAGAATATAATGCCTAAATGACTAAACTGTTGTGCTTTAAGAAGAAATAGAGTTTACCGTAGTTGAATAATAAATGCAAACAAAAGTATCTCCGGTGTTCTTTGTTGTCATTTACGCTAAACAAATAAAATCATGGTCAGAAATGATTGTTTGTTTCAAACTGATATGAAGCGTATACAACACAAGTTAAAAGTCATCATATTTGTCACGGGATACAGGTCTGATTCCATATTACATCACAATTATCGTGACGGGTAGATGCGACGACGTTCAGACTTTTTTTTATTCCATCACGTTCCCAGTGGAACATCGTGCTTCAAGCTAGAATCTTGAAGTTTCTGTAGCAGTGTTTATTTTTACAGGATGGGGTTGCTAGCCTCATGCCCAACCTTTCCTCTTTACCAGCTTTTATTTCTGGCTTAGCGAGGTAAAGGAGTGAGTCGGTGGCCGGGGATCGAACCCCAGACCATGTGCATGGTCGGCGAGCGTCCTAACCACTGTGCCACTGACGGATGTCCAGACTTTAATTTCCTCGAATTCATAAGTATTCCTGTTTATTCATCAGCTGTTCTCATTCACAGTCCTGTAAGGAATAGATCGTAGAATTTTGAGGAATTTCTCAACGTTTCAGCAATAAATTATAACTTCTAGGATATACTACGTTTCTAACTGATAATATTAGATATTGTCGGTAATGCATCACAAATTGTCAGATGTGTGATAAAAATTCACATGAAATTTCAACTTATTCACCCAACGATTGTATATTTCATCCAAAACCTGTAAACCGCAGGGTGAGGCAGAATTCCTAAGTTTGTTGTCACTCATTTCTGAAGAATCCCAGACTTGGATACAAAAAAGAGGCTATTCCGTGCTTTATCGGATATTCCAGAGTACAGTGGCTTTTTCCTACCCCCCTGATTATCCTGCCCTCATCATAAGGCAGTTCTTCAATTTCATGGTTAACTGGATCCTAACCGAGAGATTCCAATGAAAATTATTAAAACTGGTCCCATAGTTCTTGCTTTAATTGTTGCTTTGTTTGTTCATATCACTCTGACATATACTGACTGGCACAATGATTGACAAACAAAACATCGGTAGAATTGGTAACAGTCCTACAACTTGGATAAACAATTTGACAAAACACTCTATGAACGATTTTATAAACAACAGATTGTGGTGTAACACTCATATGCTTCTCCTTGAGGAGAAGTTCATCGGGCTTATTTCACATGCAGCTATAGAATGCTGTTTACAGGGGCAGTGAATCAATCAGTCCTGGGTTCGAATCCCGGTGGGTGTGTACTGATGAAGAGTTCCAAACTAGGACGAAACAGCTGTCCAGTACTCCCAGGTTTTCCAATGGTTCTCTAACTAATGTTAGCTCATGATGAAATCCTGAAACCAACCAAATCCCTACAAACCAACACTTGAATAATTTTATTATTTATGAAAAGTAATAATCAAAGCTGCCATCATTAATTTACCTTGTGTTCCATTCCAGGTATTGTTTTCTTGGTAAATCCTCGTAGGCTTTAAAGTATCTCCTTGATGCAGCTGGTGATACAAGTTCAGTGATTATGAATGATGTAAAGAATCCAATTAATGTCCACCATAAACAAAATGAAGTTTCATTCGATGATGAAAGTATCAGGGTATTTTTAATATTCTTATCATTTTCATCTAATACATTTATTGAATTCATATCATACAGGATTAGATGTTATACTAGTTTGATTCTCATATATGAATGCATAAGCAATTTTGTATTCACAGTATAATATCTGTTGAAATAATGACTATACTAGATAGTTATATGATGTTGAAGAGTTTGATTGGTAGTAGCCAAAAATCAAGTGTTAGAAGAAAAAAGCGTTCAATGATTAGTCAGATTTTCTTTCGTATGAGTGAGCGTGCATGTGTACACCTGTGCGTGTGTATATATATTTGTATACATATGATTCGTTCTCTGATAGGTTAAACAAACTTTCATACACATACACATACACATACACGCAAAAGCTTTTTTTAGTGTGTTTAACTTTAGAGAATAAAAAACAACTAACTGGAGGTTACTACTAGCAAAATAATAATTATAATAATTATTATGTGCTATTATAAGAGAAATTTGAAGATTCTGACTTCTCTCTTACTGGATTATACTACTGAGTGTTTCGTGCCGATTTATCTATGCATAAATCTGCAGTACTGATCTTTTTTGTAGACGGAGAAATCAACTTGTAATGTTTGAGCATGGAAATAATTGTTGCGACTTAGTGCTTTGAGTTTTTGCTGCTTCGGTTTACATTGACTCATCAAACTATTGTCAGATATGGGCAGTTTTATTTTTTCGTACAGTAGCACAGTCAAACTTTGGGGATTTTCTTTTGGCTTAAAGCGCTTCAGGTAAGCATACATTCTTGTGGAAGTCGGCGGGGGGAGAAGTTCTAAAACACAGACAGTTGTTTTCAAGTATTGGTTTTTGTAGGGATTTTGTTTGATTGCATGGAGGATTTAATCATGAGCTGACATCAGTTAGAGAACCACTGGAAAACCTGGGAGTACTGGAGTCATGAACCGGCAGAAGTTAGAATTCAAGGACCATTGGATCGGGTCCCAGTGGCTCAATGGTCTACGAGCTCGCCTTGTAACCAGAAGGTCCTGGGTTCGAAACCCGGTGGGTGCGTACTGTGAGGAGTCCCAAACTAGGACAAAACAGCCGTCCAGTACTCCCAGTTGGTTTTCCAGTGGTTCTCTAACAGACAGTTGTCTCATTAAAACTACTGTACCAGTTGTGGGTACTAACAGTTCTGTTACTTATCCCAAGTATGATTGTTTGGGCATAGTTCTGAAAGGTCCCCGAGGAGGACTAAGCCATTTTTCGGTTTTGTTGCATATCCAGTGAACTCATTGGCTAAAATTGTCGTGTGACTAATATTTGACTACTAATTTCAGTGAGCGTTACAGAAATTTGGTTCATCTTATGTCTTTCATTATATCAAACGATAAATTTATTCTCCTGTGAATCATGCCGTATCATATATCATATTACTTTCAATGATTATGCGCATTAGGATGTATATGAAGCCTTATCCAATAAGTAGTAGCGCTTTCCTGAGTGATGCATGCAATAAATAAACTAATATGATTAATACAAAATGTTCATAATTTTACCTAGTAGTCTCAACTCTTCAGATTGTTACATGATTCAGTGAGCAAGTACCTAGAGGCTGCTGGTCTGACACTAGGCGTGTTTTAAATTTTACCGTCAGTTACCACCCGTTTTGCCAACAGTAGTCTGTAATTTAAAGGTCAGGCCAGACAGTCCCACTATCACACTTGTGTAATTTATCTTGACTGCCAGCAGCTCACCTGTCTGTTGATTCGTCTTTTTCAATACCTGACTCAAAATAATATTAACACTTTCTTACTTTTGATGTCAACTGTTCTGAATTATTTACTGAACAAGGGGTATGAATGTAACTGCAACACTATGATTTCGTGTTTATTAACTTTATTTCACTGTAAAAGGTGAGGAGGTACTGTTAATATGGTAGATAATACTGAGGTCGTCAGATTTATAGGTGGTTAAGTGAACTAAATGGTCTCATGTTATTCCACTCCAAAGCTTGTTCATTACCTGTTTAATTTTAGTAAAGAAAATACATTTAGAATTCCCAAACCCTAACCTCTGTTTACCCGGTACAAAACGAATGCTAATTTCTACTTTAACGCTGACTTATTGATGGTGTCATACAGACAGTGTGTTCCAAAGGAATATTATTCTCAAGTATTAGTTTTGTAGGGATTTTTTTTGAGTGTATGGAGGATTTCTTCATGAGCTGACATCAGTTAGAGAACCACTGGAAAACCAACTGGGAGTACTGGATAGCTGTTTCGTCCTAGTTTGAGACTCTTCATCAGTACGCACCCATCGAGGTTTGAACCCAGGACCTTCTGGTGACAAGCCAAGCTCATAGACCATTGAGCCACTGGGACCCAATCCAATGGTTCTTGAATTCTAACTTCTGCCAGTTCACGACATAGCGTGACCAATGAGTTACTGCCTCATCTTCGACCTTCTAGTGGGAAGCTGTGACCAGTAAGTAGGGTACAGCAGGTCGAAGATGAGGCAGTAACTCATCGAGGAAAGCAACGCGAAATGGTCGCGCTATGTCGTGAATTGGCAGAAGTTAGAATTCAAGAATATTATTCTCATATATTCCTACAGTTCACTACCGCATTAGCAACAGAATAATTTATATGCTTGAACATTCTATCTCATGTTGTATAAGGTAAACCGAAGTCACACGCTCAGTGATTGGTTGATGAATATAAACTGTACAAATATAAATAGTTGTTTGATCAGTTGAAAATATATCTTGGCTTCCGTTTCTTGTCTTCTGCTGTTGCATCTTTACTTAACTTCCAAATTTCTAATTAGCTGAAATTTGTCAAATGTCTAGTTGTTTGAAGAAATTTAGTCAATCCGAGCGTTGTCAAATGAAATGCAAAAGGCTGTAGTCCTTTAAAAACTTCCATTCCTAAAAGTTTATTCCCTTTTAACCAGATTTCTTATAGTCAAAGAGTGACTCCACTTCTGTTAACACATCATAAAAAGAAATTTTATTTTAAAAAAAACATACGACTATACTTAAAGTTTCAGGTATTTAATCCAGGTCACTTGAAGAAATAACATTCCGGTTCCTTTTTCACCGCATTAAAGTAAAAACAATACAATATTGTTGCCTGAGTGATACAAAGGTAAACATAAGCGTAAACAAAACTAATACAACAAAATAACTAGATAATAGTTATTCTTAATTAAATTGAATTCTATCAGCACTTCCTATGTTGGGTATTAAGCATTCAGAAAGAATACCTGCTTCAGTGATTTATTGAGCGTCACAAGTGATGACGAAGGCGTGTAATTCTATTCTCTGCTACACAATCAATAACAAAAAGCCACTAAAAATGCAACCAGAACTCAGTGGCTATATTTTTTACTAGGGTATATGATGACTACTATGAGGTCATGCGTTAGAAGGGTAATCAGTTACACTTTGAAATATATTGAAATATTTTGTTGGTTTAAAGTGTCTACACACTTTAGTTTTTTTTAAAAAAAATCTTTAATAAGCTACCATAGTTTACCAGAGCCACTGCTGCCTTTTTTATCTGTTTCATGAGTAAATAGTAATATTATGAACACGTAATCTGACTAAAAATGCTCTCTGCTGACAAATTTAAAAAATGTGAGTTCAATACTAGATTAACATTTGTGGTTTCTCAATGCTGCTTTATTTTTACTGAAGCTAAATAATCGATTGGTGTTGGTAAATGAGAGTGGATACCTAATTGACGTTAACTGCTGAATGTTACTCAACCGTGGATAGATGAATTTCTGATATTATTCACGATGAAAACTATGCCCGGACGACTGTTATACATTCGCCAATCTTTTAAGCCTACAAAAAAGACAAAAATAACAAAAAGGGACTGAATCGTGGTGATATAGGAGTTTGAAATATGGTAAAAATAACCAGTACTTAAGATGTTGCAAACCACATTCATACCGTTACTAACTTCCACGACGAGCTCGCGTACAACCTGAACAATGCAAGGCTGAAAATGTTCCCGCATGATTTCTATCATTCAACTGATTAGTTTCAGTGCTATACCAAATAAGCGCTGTGGATGTCACGATAAGACATTTAAATCACGACTGTGTCAGCTTTATTGTGTGAGACACATTCAGACCTGAAAACATAAATGCTTGTATTCAAGTGTTGGTTGCTTGTCCTAGAGCCGTTCTCTCTGGATGATGACAACACCAGGTCAGATGTACGGACAGATACTCTGCATTGACACTGACTGGTGATTATCCAAAAAAATACGCATCAGCGAAATCTAGAATTAATCCATCCCAATGGCTGAATGGTCGACAGGCTCACCCCATGCCTGTAGGTCGTGGGTTCGATCTCCGGAAAGATTTTTTGTGCGCTCTGATCAACGAAACAACTATCTAGTATTCCCTGCTTCTGAATGATGTTCTAACCGATGTCATTTCGACGCCTAACTTGTAACCAGTGGGAACTCTGCAAACTCACCCTCAATCAATATCGCAACTACCATCATGGGCCAGACAAATCTCTCAGAGGAATACCTACAACTTTAATATCACCCATTTGATAATTGGGTCAAAATTTAAATTGTGAATGAAGTGAAATATATGCACTTCGACTCTAGAACAACGTTTTTTACTTCAACTACATATATGCGATTTCGAGTCTCAGATCGTTGTCTGATTGGATCGTGTATAGTGGGCTCAACGTTGGAACTTTGCACATGAAAGGTGTGTTTGAATCACTAACAGCTTTCCTTCACCACTGGCTATGGGTTACTAACGATCAATAGGAATACATGATATTTCTATCACCAGCCTTTGTCAGTGTGCCTGCAAACATTGAAACAAAATCCAGTCACTTCCGAAATAGATTACATCACGGGATAATATCAGTCACAGAACCACTGAAAACTACAGAGAACTAAACACCTCTTACCACACAGTTTCGGACTTTCCATCAATGTGCATCTATGAGTCGACCAAGGAGTGTACTCAGAACACTGATGTTCCGAGGTGACCACATTATCTATCATTCAGCCATTTGGTCGAAGTATATTAGTCTATGAGTACTAACTCTAAACGACTCACAACATAACCACACACGCCCCAGGAATGTCATTGACAAGTATCTGTCCTTACAATCTACTTGGCGGACTGCACAAGTCATGAACGCCAATTAGAACTCTAGGGATTTCATCCTGTAGTCAACCACCGCTAGTTTCTACCCACTGGTTGAATATCTTCAGTCCGATCCATCGTCTGCTGATAGGCGTGTACTGTT